TTTTTGGTGGGGTCTTTGCCTGGTTTTGGTATTAGGGTGATGTTGGCTTCATAGAATGAGTTTGGGAGTATTCCCTCCTCTTCTATTTTTTGGAAAACTTTAAGGAGAATGGGTATTATATCTTCTCTGTAGTATTCAGTTTTTAATAGTCCTAAAACCTAGTTCTTTATTGCGTTTTAAAATTCAGTTTACAAATCTTACTCTTTTTACAAAACTCACAAGTTTCCGGAGCTGGGACTCTTGTTAGTATCTCTAGCCCCCTTTGCAAGCAGGTCCCTGAGGCCAGGTACATGCTCCTATTTGAAGAAGGCTGATCCAAACATACCTTTACAGTGTTGTTCAGAATTACTTAAGGTGCTATAAAAGATAGATTCTCAGACCTACCCAGCACTTTTTGAGACTCGAAATTCCTTGGGGATTCTCTGGTATCTGTATTTGAGTAAGTACTTCATAGGATCTGTTGTCCTCTATTATTTGTAACCTACTGCTTAAAACAAAACAAAACAAAACAAAACAAAACCAAAATATACATTAGGTAGGTTATTTAAAGTATTGTAAAAAGACATTCAGAGTAATTTTTATTATACATATAATATGCATTCATTATAAAATAATTTAAAAATACCTGAGTACAAGGAAGAAAGTCCATCACCCGTATGTTTACCACTGGGGAAAATGACTGTCAGTATTTTGGCCTTGTAGGTGATGTAAAATGTTTCCTTTACCCTGTTAGGGTTTCTGGCTGGGACTGACATTAACAGGAGATTACCATACAAACAGGAGAAAACCATACAGACTATTGACATGTACATGGGAGCTGTCCCAAGAAAAATGAGCCAGAGAACTAACTAGGCCAAGTGCTTGTGTACTAGGTGGAACAAAGCATAGCCATTGGTGGAGGGTAACTGAAATGTATAGGGAGACTCACCGGAAGTAAGAGTTCTTTTAACAAGGTCTTTTTGTAGATTTCTCTCAGCCTCCCTTTACTCTCTAGTGGTAAGAATGTTTGTCCTCCAGGTATAGGGAGGGCTTCTTTTACATGAGAATTTCCTCTCTCGTTTTTAGAAAGAAGAAGGAAGGTCTGAGTACCTTCTATGCATCTGCTATTTTTCAAGTGTCTCAAACTAAAAATAATATATCAAAGTGGCATATTTTGGGGTGGCATATCCTGAACTCTTTCAGTATAATCTTACAATTTTTTTGTATAATTGTTTCCATTACAAAGGCAGGAACATGCTACATGCATTTTTTGGTAACTTTATTTTGTATTTAATTAAAGAGCATTCTATTTTTCAGATACAGGATAAATTCCTGTATTGGAGACCCCCAAATACAGCTTCTATGTAAGCAGTTTGGCTTTCTGATAATACAGTCTGGACATCAGTAGCACAGGCATGTGGCGGAGGGAGTGTGACTGCTCCCAGAAGTCATGCAGGGACCCAGTTCCCCTCTTCACTCTAGCTCTGCCATCTCTGGGGTGTTCTCTTGTGCCTGGTTGAAGCTGGGTCACCCCCATGTCTTCTCCAGCCCACAGGAAGGAAGCATGTGAGGGATGTGGTTCCTACCCTGGTGTGCCTGGCAAAAGCTTTGGGGGGCAATTAGCAGTCTCTGCCATCATCAGAAATACGTTTCAAAGGCAATAACTAAATTTAAAAATATTTGTTACTGAGGACAGTTTTCTGGTGCTTTGAGTTTTGTTATTATTATTTATGATAGTTTTTTATCGTTCTCTCTCTTTTTTTTTTTGCAATAGTAAAAGATCCTGGGACAAATATTCTTGAATTAGAGTTCTGTCTTTTACATTAAGCAAATTACTTTCTTAGGTAACAGAAACTACAGCTATAAAGTAGACTTGGTGGTCAGATGGTAGGCATATCCGATGATATGTGTTGAACTTTAGAAAAGCTGTAACTATTTACATTTTCATTACTATTCAAGACCTAACAATAGCTTCTTAGCTGTCACTTAAAAACCATCAATCCTAACATAAGCATTTCTTCTGATCTTTATCCACACATGATTATCACAGAAGTATAACCATAGTTAACATGTTTTATTTTGTTGGCTGACTTTTTTTCTCTGCATATTATTGTTTTCTTTTTCTGTTTTATTGTATTTATATTTACAAAAAGTGGCATGCTATTGTGTATATTAAATGTAACATAATGTGTTTAACCAAATATCTAGTATTGGACTTTCATTTCCATGTTTTTGTTACTATAAATAGTCTTCTTCTCATTTACCTCCTCCCAAGATACCCTTTCAAGTGGAGTGTTGAAGCCTTTTGAATCTGAGCACAAAAGTCAGGTTTGAGGTTTAGTCTGAGCCCTAGGCAAGTTTTTCCTTCATCTTCTACACACTCTGGGTGCTTTGCATAAATGCTGAAAGACATGTGAGAAAGTGATGAGTGGATGTCTGTCCACTGCTGCAGAAGAGCGTGCACTGACATATTTTCACTGACAATTAGTGACTAGCAGGTGCCAGAAATTCATATTTTATCCAGCTTGTTAAGCAGGCCATGGTTATTAATATCTGTCATTTGCAATGGCAAAAGCAGATGCTAAACATGTTTCCTGCAGAAGTCACCTGACTTTTTTACATCAAACAGTAGAATTTTATGCAAGAAAACCTGAAATTTCACATAAGTCAAAGGCAGATCTGACAAAGAATGTTTAGATTTTTTTCTTTGTTACCAGGTGCCACCATCTGGCCAAAGCTGCAGCAGTTTCTAGGTCATTTGACTTTTGCCAGCTTTGGATTTAGTTCTTGACATATTTTTAATTTGGGGATATAGAGGAAGTATGGATTTGCATTATTTTAAAATGTACAAATAAATGACTCTTAATAACTTTATATCATACTGTTCTAAATATGCACACATTTAAATCCCATACACAATAATATCATTTCGTGACTAGTTAGAACTGTGCTTATGTGTAGTACAATTTGATGGTTATACTGGTCCTGGGACTCAAGGAAAAGTGTTAAATAAAATCATTAAAATACTAAATAAGTAGAGTGGATAAATAGAAAACATGGAGATTATATATAATATATACAAATATGTTCATATATGAATAAAACTATATAGTGTTTATATTAATCCACATTAGTATGTTAATATACCATTAATATGTTTACATAACCAATATATTTAAATCAGTCCATACATTAGTATATAATAATCCATATATACATATTAATCCATATACTATATGTAATATGTATCTCTTTCCCAAGTAAGATAGTTAACTTTTTGAAAAAGTTTGAGATTCAAATTTCAGTAAAAAATGTAAGCCTAAAGTTTATACAACAGGTCCATCCTTCAATCCAGTTTCATTTGCAGCATGTATGTGTAGCTGTTTTACTGTGTCATGTAATAGCTACTGTGAGAAATAGAGTCGGTTAGTAAGGAGAGCAAAATAATAGCAGTTTATGATAAATTATACTTGGAAATGAAGAGTAAATCTAGGTATTAGTGTAACACTGATTTCTGAGGACATGGCTAATGCTAGCAACCTGTTACGTTATCTTAGACTTCTGTGTCAGATAACTTTTCCAAATTATCTTCTTTATAGGCTGTTAAATTCCAAAAGTTTCAAGCCTTTGACTGGGGAAGCAGTGCCAAGAATTATTTTCATTACAACCAGGTAAAGTCTTTGAAGTCATTAGAATTAAAATGGGCATGGACCACCCCTCAAGGAAGCCTGAGTTGTGAGGAATCTGGCTGGGCTCTGGTTCTGTGGGAAGTATTTGTGAGAGTCAACTAGACAGCATTTGTTTTCTCAGTCTGTTCCAGAACAACTCAGGCTTTGCAGCTGTGGCTGTGGACTGGCCTCCTCTCTGTCCTTTCCCTGGCCCTGGCCAACAGCTGTCACTGTCATATGTCATTCATAGTGATCCAGAACACAGACCTCAGAGTCAGACAAGCCTAGGTCTGTTCCCTGGTGGCTGGGACACCTTGACCAAATTACATAGCCTGAGCCTTTTCTTCTAGATGCGAATAAGTTGACCATTTTGGCATGCTAAGTGCTCTAAAATGTGAGGCACTTTGCCCATGTTTTTCTTACTTAGTTCTCACAATATCTCTGTGACAGAGATGTGATTATTATAATTATTATTACTAAAGATGAGGCAACTGAGCCTTGGAGAACATCTATGACATGTGTTACACCCCAGAGGGAAGGAGAGTAGGAAGGTATGATTCCAAACCCCTTTCCCAACCTCTTGGTTCTAAGGCTTCACATCTACTACCGGGGATCACAGAGCCTTCCTCCCAGAGGACAACATGATGCTGAGCTCTGGGTGACAAGCTATTTGCTAATAGTTAATTGCCATTATTTTTGCTCATGGGCTTGGTTCTGTTCTGGTAATAGTAATTTGAAAAGTGAAGTGAGAGTGATTTTAAAAATTTAGTCTTTTATTCTCAGGTCAAATTTACTAACCAATGTTTAATGGAGATTGTTGTGTTTTTGTAAATTAAAATGACAGCAACAAAGCTTTCTGTGGGCTTTTTATTACAGAGTTACCCTCCCACTTACAAGGTGAGAGACATGCTCATGCCGACTGCTGTCTGGAGCGGAGGTCAGGACTGGCTAGCGGACATCAAGGACATGAGCCTCTTACTGTCCCAGATCACCAACTTGGTGTACAACAAGCAAATTCCTAAGTGGGAACATCTCGACTTTCTCTGGGGCTTGGACGCCCCTCAGCAGCTCTATAATGAAATAGTGTATCTAATGAGGAAATACCAGTGAGAGACAGGCTGGAGAAATTTACCATCAAGTCAATGATCAAGTCATGTTAATATTTGTTTGCTAAATTTCTCTAAAATACTTGTTTTTCTTGCCCAGGTCTTTGCTATTTGTATAGTCAGAAAATTATGATATTGAAGATGCCCAGTTCTGTTTAGTTAGGATTAGGGAATGTATTCACTTTTTAAAAAAATCATGGTTGAATATGAAGCTAGTGTCTCAATCATAGGCTTAGAGAGTCTTTTAATAATACTACTGATTTGCAAAAGGCTGTAACCATTCTGTTCATCCTTATAACTTAAAATATACTATATTGCCTTTTTCCCCATGTATAGGATACATATTGACATAAGTGTGGAATTTTTAAGCTGTGTTGTTTCTTGGTAAATAATCTGACACTGACTTGAAAAAAGCTTGGTGTGTAAGTGCCCAGTGTTCATCTTTTTGCCTTAAAGGGCTCTCCAGTTGAGTGGCCTTGTATCTGGAACCTAAATGACACTTGATCATGTTCTTGTGCAGTAAGGTGCAGAGTCAAGTAGAGTGACACTCCAGCTGTGCCTAGTGGTAAAGATTCTATAATGAATTTTGTCAAACCTAACTGTGATAGCATTTCTTTAGCAAAGGCTTACATTGCTCAAACCAAGCAAAATAATTTGTGGGAGTCTTCAAAAATACATGGCATTGATTTAAAAGCACAGTTATTTTAAGTAGCTTAAAGAGTGATACATTCAACTATCTATATTCATGAACTCTAAATTCTGTGGTAAGCTATAAATCCACTTTTTTGGGGAAGAAAAGTCCTGTGGAGAGAGTATTCCACTATTTTTCCTGAAATTAATACACTCTTAACCAGCTGCTGTAGCCTGGTGATGAGTGAAGCAGTGGCCCTGAGGGTGCACATCAGGAGGGTCCTAACTCAGTTTCATACCAAAGAAATGTGAATGTTTTAATACTAGAGCTCAGGGATTCTTTTCAATGGTGACTTTTTTTTTTTCATTTGTATGTGTCCATAATTTTAATACTCATGATTTGCAGCCCTAAGTCAGGAAGCCCTTATTTAACCTGTTTTTCTTGCAGCATTGTTTCCTTACAATACTGACAGCTGGACAGAATGATGACTAATGTTTTTTTCTGATATAATTACTTTAGCTGCAATAATATACACTTGGTTTTGGCTAACGTGCAGACAGTGTACTACTTTGTGACATTTTAAACTTTTCAGTACATCTCAGTGAGCCTCATGATGTGTGTGTGTAGTGTGTGCCCTCTTTTGTTTAATAGCCATTCTGTACTTCCCCTTCTCCTTTGGCAGGACTTAACACTGTCCTTTCTCCTCTCCTCTCCCTCCTCCTTACTCCTGGTGGTGGGAGAGAGCTTAACAGAACGGCCTCAGTGCCATAGGTGACCTGGTTTCCCTGGCCTGTTGCTGCCCTGGTAGTGCCCAGAGATGTCCTTGAGGGCTTGTGCTCAGTGAAGCTCCCACACAACAGATGATAAACATGAGCAAGGGCTGCATTCTGTAGAGTTTACATTTTATTAGCATGTTTTTCTCTTCCCCTCCTTTCCAAACTTTACTCTGGGGAGTTTTCTTCAGAGTGTGGGCCAGTCTAGAGGTGGAGATGTTGCAAAGCTGTTCTTGTGACATTGGGTTACATTGCACATTTACCTTTGGTGGTGGCCTCTTGCTCCTGACATGGTCACACAAGTCCTTTCTATCTTTAAAACCCTGGCTGCATTAACTGGCTTTGCTTCAGCGTGGACTAAGGGTGCAAAACACAATTGGAGCTTGTGTCTCTCAAGGAATCTGTGACAGGTTAATTGTTTTTCAACTAACTGGGGAAACTGACTCTATTCTCTTCAACTGGATTTGATATATATTCTTTGGAGCAGGGCACAAAGATTTCTGCAGGCCTCTGGGACAAGAAGACTAGTTAATATTTTGCCAACTTGGAACTCTTAAGATACTGTTTACATGGGCAAAGCCACCAATGAAGTCCCATTTGAGAACAAAGTCATTCTTCTCATTTGCCATGAGAGGGCAATCTTGGCTCTGCTTCCAGCTTTTTCATAAGGAGACTTCCTCTAGTCCCTTTGAGAAAGGCAGAGAGCCTTGTTGATGTGTGAGCTAGTGATAATTTGAGGACGGGTAAGACCAACCGTGTCTGTGATATTTCTATCCAGGATCATGACTAATTCTTGCCTAATTAATAATAATCTCAAAGAATAGCTGTGCCTCAATGTGACCTTTAAGTAAAAATGTGCTTAATAAGTAAATGAGTGGTCAGAACCTCAGGCATGGGGAGGACGTGGCGAAGGCTTTAACCTAAGCCTCACTTTTATTAAGGACCAAGATGTAGACTATTGATATTATCTCCAAATAAAATTATTTTGTGTTTGGGAGTGTTATGGTATTAATTCATTACATGTAAAAATTTAAAATTAGACTGTATTTTTAAGACTTGTCACTTTAATATGTGGAGAGAGTTTCAAAATATGAAAGGCAACATTAGATTGCAATAATTATCCTGGGTTTTAAAAAGTATGTTAGTTATTAATTCAGGAGTATTAATTGAGTATTGTGCTAAGTGCAGATTTCAAGTTCAGTTCCAAACTAAGCAAGTAAAACTTTCTCTGTCAACTGTTTTAGTACTACTAAAAAAAATGTACATTGAGCCTTCTGGGTTTTTAAAGCCTTGTCACAAGGCTTTGATCTTTGCAGCCTGCCCTTTGACAGATAAGGTGAATATTTTCTCTGCCTTACAGACAGGGGTCTGCCTTTTATGGCAATCATTTTATATGCCTTAAATATTTTAAAGAGGCTGGTGAGAGTTCCAACAGTATCCCTAGAAGCACCTATTTACCTGTGACTCAGAAGGATCAAAAATATAAAGTGTTTAAAACCAAATATGGGTCAGCATTTGTGTCATCAAGAAATCTCCTGGGGAGCTAATATCCCCTGTATTCTTCAGCATCCCCTACTGTTTTGGTGTGGATAACAAATGTTTCCTGAGTCTTTTTGTAAGATGCTATATCAATGCAACTTCAATGCCCCATTCTAACATCAAAGTCCTGTAAAGGTACCTACCTTGAAACTGACACTGACCAGGTTCTGCTCTCATTTGGCTGTAACTTTTTATGTAACTTAAGCTAGTTTTAATTTTTCTTAGACCAAATCTTCATCTCTATGGTGAAGGATTAGATTTTGAATTTTTGAAGATTACTCCACTCTCTGTGAGTATTATACATTACAGCTGTATAATGTTACAACACTTCTCATTTCTGTATCCAGGAAGAGATACACTTTTTAGTTAGATAACATGATTCGGTTAGATACATTCCAAGACAGGCTCACCTAATTTTGAAAAGAAAAACATCATAACATACATAGAAAAAGAGATTGTGTCATTGCTAATGGGCTTTGCCAACTACATGTTCTAGTTTTTAAAGGGGGACAGTACCCAACATCTTTTGTGAGTTGATATCAAATAACTTCAAGATTGTATTAAATATGCACAGACTTGATTGTTGTACTTCTGAAAAAGTGATTTGCTTGCTGGGATAGCTAGAGAGGAAAGGATTCCTGTCTTCCAACCTTGTCAGAAAGGCCATGCCAACATAAAAATGACACATAGGAAGTCATAAGCAGCTGCAGCAGCACAAAAAATAGTGTGGCCAAAGTCCTAATACCATCAAAAACCAGTCAACTCCACCTTCTATGGAAAACCATCCCAGTAGATAAGCAGACCTAAACTACATCAAACAGTGCTCCAGGGGGAACAAAGATATTTTTTACCTTTGATTTAGAGCCCATATCTTTTTAAATAAGCATTGAGTCCACAAATATCTTTTGAATACTCATTATGTGCAAGGTATAGTGCTTAGCACTGTGGAGGTGTTGGGGAGAAACCTAGAAGATAGACTCAAGCAGTTAAATATACTTTGTGTAAATAAAACGTGTTTAAAGGTGCACGTTTGCCAGTTCAAGAAATGACACCACGTCAGTCAAGACTAAATAAGGTTCAGTTTTATTTGGGTCCATTAATGATGCTGTGTTTGGTTGCCGGACATGTTGTACCTACTTTTTCAGCCATCTCCATGACGTCCAGTGGACAGCTGATGAGATGTTAACTGACCAGTTTCCCAGGGATGCTTGCATTTGTATATTGGACATAAACTTCTGTCCTGCTGGCTGCATGAGCCTGAAAGACGGAGCTGGAGGCTCTTCTTGAAAGTGCTGGAGTAAATGGGGGAAGCCTGGGCCAAGCAGGCTGGAGCTGTGGCTGGCAGGTCCTGCCGCACAGCACTTTATGTAACCGGCCCATGGAGAATATCTAACAGGCTTAGCAGTAGAGGATGGAGGAATCAAAGAGGGAAAAGAGTGGGTTGGTGGGTTTAGGGACTCAAAGGAGGCAATCATGACAGCGATTTAATAGCTAAATCTAAACTAAGCAAACCTGCCAAGGCCACCCACTTAAAAAAATCTGCGAGCACATCCAAAGCACCCGAGCATGCTAGCTGGAACCACAAGGAAAGGACAGCATGCGCCTAATGGAAATTTGAAGGTTGACTTTATGTGGAGGGCAGATCTGAGTGCTATTTTACTTCTGAGCAGATTTCATTTGCCTGACAAAGTGAGTTTGGTGGTGGTCCCTTTGGAGCACTGAGGGACCCAAGCATGCAGGAGAAAAAGCCCCTGCTCTTCTCTCGGAGATGCTGACTGTGCCATGCAAGTTCAAGGGCACAGCCACATCTACCAAAAAGGAGAAAGAAAAAAAAGCTCACATAAAAATGAATTGAAAAGAGTGGTGGAGGAGGGAAAGATTGAAGAGGAAACTAAAAAGCACAGGTTGTCCAACTGGAAGAAACCTGCCAGCTGGGAGGCCGAGGAAATCTGCTACCATCTGGATATCCACACAGCAGTAGAAAATGCACCCTCTTTTGTATTTTGAATTGGCTGTCAAGAAGCTCAAAGCTGCTTCTGAATGCTTATCTCATCAGTACACAGGTAGAATAACATAATATTCTTAGGGCACACTGAGGTTTAAAAAAAAAAGTTTCAAAAGGGCCAGAGGCTGAAGGCTCCAGAGGATGGGCATCAGAGGAATATTGGTATTCTGCCGGTGGTGGTTCAGGGACACACACAGGTTAGGAGGTTCTGAATTCTGCATTGGACTATTATAGGGGTGTGTGTGCATCCCACATATAGCCTATATGTTATTATATATTAATACATAGTTACTTATGAATTGGCCTATTTATGATATATGTACATATCCTCTATATTATTATAATTCTAGGTTCATATACTGGCTTATATTTTGTACTTATTCTTTCCTAATACGGATTTACATCTTTTATTTCTCTTTACAAAGTTTTGTTTTTTAATTTCCAACTTTAGGTAAAACGTGTACAAATTTAAAATAATTTGTGTCTTATTTGGTATGTTTACTGTGGACAGGCACTATGCGTTTACTTCTGTAAGACCACAGCAATAAAAATAATGCCTATTTCTTGGCAGTGTGGGGAACCCAGCTCTTCTAAGGACTGGATGAAATCACTTCAAGTAACACACTTGGCTAATGCCTGGCAGACATTACATTAATATTATTATTTTCCATTAATGCTTAAAGTAGCCTGTTGCAATAATACTAATACTATTTCCCTTTGGGATGGCAGAATGAAAAATGCAAAGCTTCCAAGAGTGACGCGCTGGCCCCTTACCTCATAGACGCAAGGAGAGTCCGGGCCAAGATTAGGAGGCTTTCTTCCAAAACTTTAATCCTCTTGGCGCCTCTTGTGCCGCGCGTCAGCAACCCAGGTCAAACGTGGAGGGTGTTTTAATGCTGGTCCCCGGTCTCCCCAGAGCTACCCCAGTACCGACCTGCCTGACTCGGTCCCGGGTCAGTCAGACCGCGGAGAAGGCAGACGTGGGGTCGGCCTCGCAGTCTGGCTCCGCGTACCAGGGTTAGTTAGCGGATAGAGGGATCCTAGAGGGATCGAGGGCCAGAGGCAAGTCAGCACCGCGAAGCCGGCCCAGGGTCGCGCAGGGCAGGCTCAGTCACAGCCTCCCCGGAGGCTTCCGGAACGCACACACGTTCCCTTGAGGAGCAAAATGAAGTGGTTTATTGGTTTCATGGCTTTCAACCCAAATTGAGATCCAGCGGCTTTCAAGCCAGATCTCGGCAGGCTCTGCATGTTAAACCCAACAGTTACTTTATTCCCCCCTCCCTTTTTTTTGTTAAACGAAGCCTAAGGGCAGTTCCTTCTTGTGCACCCGCCCTTCCCGGTTCCCGTCGCTGGTCTGCGCACCCGGTGTGCGCCCCGAGGGTCCACCAGCGCGCCGGGGCTTGCGGGCTCCCCCGGGGGAGTCTGCGTGCAGTGGGATACGGAGTTTGTCACGAGCCTGCAGCGATGGGTCCTCTCCGGAGTCACTGGAACTGGGAGTTACCGTCCCACCACCGATCAGATTTACTGCGCTGACCGCCGCCGCGCACTGCTGGGGACCCGTGGTTCCCTCAGCTAGAGGTAGTTTGCAGCTTGCTGCTGCTTAAGTGGGTACAGGGCGTGCAGACAGAAAGATCCCAAATACAGGACGTACATCGCTTTAAAAAGTTTCTTAAAATGCACTTACGTCTTTATGAAAGTACATGGACGCAATTATATGTATGCACTAAAAAATACCTAATTCTGCACTGATTGCAAAAGAGCTCTTTCTGGCGGTGATGGAACTATTCTCTATCTTGTTTGGAGACAGTGATCATAAAGATGAATTGAGTTTTCAAAACTCGTAGAAACTTTATACTGAAGATCTTTTGTATCGTGTGTGAATTTTACGCCAAAAACCCGGAACATAATTCTGCACGCAGAAGAGAAATTACTAAGAGCCACTGCAAATCGCACACATGAAAGCTGATTGAATGCAGCTGTAAATGTGTATTTTAGCCACTAAGCGCAACTCTGTGGGGTTACTTATTTACGCAAGCTCCGCGCAGCCAGGAAAGGGACTAAAAGCCTGATGACATCACTCGGGGCGGGGCCGAAAGTCCTAAGAAAAGTCGGCGGGAGGCAAGCAGCGCAGCTGTCAGGCACAGCCTCACCATGAGCTGTTACAACACCTCGGAGATCCATGTCCTCTGTGGCTCCGGTCAGCTCTTCCTGCAGCCCCTCTGGGACTGCTTGAGGACGCGGGAGACTCTCATCCAGTCGCCCTTCTTCCCGGTCATCTTCTCCATCACCACCTACATGGGCTTCTGCCTGCCCTTCGTGGCGCTGGATATCCTGCGCCCCTGGGTGCCCGCGCTGCGTCGCTTCAAGATCCACCCCGACTTCTCGCCCTCCGCTCAGCAGCTGCTGCCCTGCCTGGGGCAGACACTCTACCAGTACGTGGTGCTCGTGCTCCCCACGACTCTGCTGTATTGGGCCAGCAGCCCGGCCCCCCTGCCCCCTGAAGCCCCCGAGTTCCTCCAGCTGGTGCGCCACGTCGTGTTCTGCCTGCTGCTCTTTGACGCTGAGTTCTTCGCATGGCACGTCCTGCACCACAAAGTGCCCTGGCTGTACCGGACCTTCCACAAGATGCACCACCAGAACTTGTCCTCGTTCGCGCTGGCCACGCAGTACATGAGCGCCTGGGAGCTGTTCTCCTTGGGCTTCTTTGACCTGGTAAACGTCACGCTGCTCGGGTGCCACCCACTCACCGTCATGATCTTCCACGTGATCAACATCTGGCTGTCGGTGGAGGACCATTCAGGCTACGACTTCCCCTGGTCCACCCACAGGCTGGTACCGTTCGGGTGGTTTGGGGGCGTGGCACACCACGACCTGCATCACTCTCATTTTAACTGCAACTTTGCCCCTTACTTCACACACTGGGACAAAATACTGGGAACTCTGCGGTCTGCTCAAGGCAAGTAACCACGCACCGTCTGCCCGCCAGGCGTGTGGTTGCGGTGAGCAGCGAGTGCCCCTCTGACCCAAGACCGCTGCGCATTCACACTTGAATCAGGAGAAACACACCTGAGCTTTTTGTTATTTTTTTGTAGGTAATTTATTACGTGGTGGGACTTTGTAGATAAAATCTGATTATTTTTGTAATCTGATAAAGTAATTTATATCATTTGTGTATATCAACAATTATACTCTTGGTGTTGAATTCTAGCCCACTTCAATAGCCTTGATTCCTGGATATAAATTAGACACTCATCACTGGCATATTGAAATCATCTCTAAAAAGATTTGTTTGTAGGACAAAGAATTTCCTATGTTCAAAAGTATCCTAGAACCAAGCTAAAAGAACATATTTTTATGGAGAATCTGAACTCTGGCTATACAAACAAGGAGACATGTTCCTGCTGGACAGTGACCAAGATTACTGTACTTTTTTCTGTTTTTTTTGTAACACTGTATATTTATATTGAAAGGAATGTTATTTGTGCTTAAAAAAAAACCGGTCATAAACCATAAACCAAACAAGTACTGGCTCCTGTTTCAATGATATTTTGACTGATAAAAACAAATGTGGGAAGAGGGAATGGGGATGGTAGGTATCCAGAGCATCCATGAGCCCTACACAAAGAGAGCAGTGTGGTAGTGGGCTCTTAGGGGACAGGGGAGTTGTAGAAGAGGAGGAAACAGGAGAAGGGCCCTGTTTGTTTTGGTCTAGAGATTTTGCAGAGGGTGAAATACTATTATTCTGAATGCTTTTTAGCTGATCTTTGCATAACAAGCAAATGAAAGAATTACCCTGTAAATATTTAGACAGATTACCACTGGGCAAACATTTGATTATTTGGTGGGAGGAAGGTGTTGGGAGGTGAGTAGAATTAGCGGTGTATCTTGCTTTGCTAAACTGGTGAGTTGAGTGTAACATTAGAGGGGCTGATACAGAAAGGGATTCTGAGACACCCCCCGAACCTTTCCATGAAGCCATCTAGTGCAAAAGCCTATCGTACACATACTGCCTCTGCAATCTGGGATTTTTGTATATTCACATTTCTTAAGTAAGACGTACATGCAAACTCTATACACCTTCCTCAAAGAAAGAAAAAATAAATGTGGCCGTAGGTCCCTGGTTCCTCGTTTGTAAAAGGAAATTGTGTCTAGATGTTCTACAGATCACTGGCGACAATAAATGTCTCTATTACTGACCACATACCTGTCACCCATCATGTGCCTCCTCTGGCTGCTGCCTACCTCTTTTAACTTTATCTTTGGCATTTAGTTAGGGTAAAGTTAAAAGAAAATCAAGACATGTAGACAGAACTGTATAATGAACAGCAGCTTTGTATGTAATTCTAGGCTCTTTACATATGAAGAAAACTATCTTGTTTAAAGGTGAAAAACCCATCTAAAGACTGGGCTTTTTATGTCTGCCAAATGACACTCCTGAGAAATATATTTAGGCCCTTCTAATATTTGGCAAATGCAGTGGGAAGGCCTGGCCACCAGGCTAATTATCTCAAGATCTCCCCCAATGTGCATGGTCTCTTGGCTTCTTGCCAAAGTCACCTCCTCCTCTGTCCTCAGCAGGACAATCCTGGGACTTAGAGGTTATGTTAATGTATAAAAGTGAAATCCATGAAAAGAGGTAGTGAGATGTAAGGGGAAATGCTGTGTTGGAGGCAGTGTATGAATACCATGAACAACCTGCTGAGTACAGGAGGATGAGAAGGGTGAAGAGCAGTTGTGGAATGTATGGTACAAATATTTAGCAGTAGTGTATGAATACCATGAACAACCTGCTGAGTACAGGAGGATGAGAAGGGTGAAGAGCAGTTGTGGAATGTATGGTACAAATATTTAGCAGATCTGGGCACTCAAAAGGTGCCTGCAAATCTGGATAATGACAATTTATGCAGCTCACTCTCAGAGAATTTTTAAATGTGTTATGTTGTGTCACTGTATACAGGAATTTTGCATTTGGGGCAAATTGTACACATGGAAATTATTTGGGTATAGAAACACTTTTTCAAAATCAGATGACTTATCAGTCTTTAATACCTTGGGAGATAAAAGCAGGTGAATGGGGAAGATGAGCAATTTTCCAGATAGTTTGAGAGCCTAATAATAATAATAAAATCATTCACACACACACATTACACATTGTTTCACTTGCACCTTATTGAAGGCAAATTCTGGCATGCTAAGACCCCCACCCCTTAAGATCCAATCACCAACGCAGAACACACCCTACCCCTACTCCTTAAAAATGGGCTTCCTCACCCACGAGCTGCTGCCCCCTCTCTCTGGGGGCAGCCATTTTCTCTTTCAGATAATAAAATCTCTTGCATGGGCCCGTGTCTCCGAGTCGTTCTGGGGTAAGGAGGGTCGTGGCAAGATACCCTTTCACTTACGGCAACAATTTAAGGAATGTAGGATAGTTACTATTATTATTATTTTATTTGTATTATCATTATCATCCCATGTTATTTCATTATTATTATCATCCTATTATCATCCCATGGATGAAGAACTGGTACCTGCATAGGTTACATGACTTGTTCCAGGTTATGAAACACTAGAAGTTGGGGCCAATTCTCAAATTTAGGTCTTGTAGCAAACGCTAATTATAGTCCCCACAACTGCCAGAGCTTTTTCAGCCACTACTCCTCAAACATAGCGTCCCTCTGTCCACTTCTTAGATGTGGATGTCCCTGGACTCAAAGCCTCTGCTTGGCAGGGGAGAAAGCCAGGGAGGTAGGCCTAGGCCAGTCTAAGCAGGACTTGGGAAAGCATGAGACAGGTTAAGGGCTTGGTCTTCTATATTCCTCACTTCACATCAGCTAAGAGCACACAGGCTGAAGCCAGATTGCCTGTGGGGGCTTTGACTCTGGTACTTACTGGCTGGTGACTCTGGATAGGTCACTCAATCTAGCTTTGCCTTGGTTTTCTCATCTGTGCGACGTAGATGATTGTAGATCCTGCAGTGCAGAGTTGTCGTGAGAGATGTAGAGTTACCTTATGTGAAGAGCTAGATGTGTTGGGGGTCCTGGCCATTATCTGGGTTTGCTCTGGTCAATGCCTCATGTCTGGGTCACCAGGACTTCAGTTAAGGACCGTAACCTTCTGTCCAAAAACGTGTTTGAGCTCTCCTGTTTTACAGAAACCCAGTAGAGCCATGTTTTTGACTCTGCTTTCATCAGAGCTGCTTCTTTCCTAATCTTTTCAAAGACATTGTGTTGGAAAGAGATGGCAATCTGCTACTTCCTCACCACTGAGTCATCCCACACCCACCTTCCTGAAACTTCCACTCCCTAATCACTGCTATCTTCCTAATTGTCAAATCCAAGGATTTCTTCCCCTTGCTTGTCCATCTCCTTGGCTTTTTTTTTTGCTAACCAGCCCTTCTAAGGATGTGGTTCTTGATTGGTCTTAGTGAGGTTTCTCTAAACTGTTTTCCTTCCTAACTTTCCAGCTGTCACTTCTTCCTACTGGTTCTGCTTACTCCTCCACAGGGAGTCAGGCCTCAAGGTGCTTATATTTGCAGTAAAAACTATGTTCGTTGTGTATAATGATTGTCTTTCCTAACACCTTCTAAGTGTATCTTCCACATCTCTGCTTGCATTGTGTTCTAGTACATACACACACAAACAATGTATATGTACACATTCTATGTATATGTGCATAATATACACTATACATGTATATCCACAATGTGTACTGTATTTATGTACATACCATACACAAACTATAGGCACACACATTATGTGTAAACAGGCATGCATTTGCACACTATATATGCACATATACTATATATGTATGTACATACTATATACATTATATATAGAACATATTCTTTATATGTAATAGAGGCCTCCACACACTATACATATATATACACACACACATACTGTATATGTACACTCACTTACTACATACATTATACATACACATACCTCCTCTCTCTGTACACACATACATGTACACGCACATATACACATACTACTGTTTTTGTCCTGTTTGCCATTATCTGTCCCTAGTAACATGCCTCATTTTGATGAATATAGGTTCAGTGTTTCATGAATACTGGAAGCAGTAGAACAGCTTTGCCATTAATCATGTCCTTACTCATCATTCCATCTTCTATCACTAGTCCATCCCAGCTTCTTAACTAAGGCTATCCTTGCAACCCATAATCTCTGTTCTAGAGAAGGTCACAGTCTACTGGGAAAGGAAAGCAGGCAAACACATCTAATCTAATGTATTCAGTTTTATAACAAGGGGTATTAATAGCTTGTTAAGGGAATCAAAAGAAAGATGGGCCATTTGAGCAATAGAAATCATGAAGGATTTGTGTGTACTCACCAGGCAGGATGAAGGGCATACCTGCAGAAGAAACAGCCCTGTAAACCAGACAGGGAGAGAGAACTTGGCATGCCTGAGACATGGTAAGAAGCTTAGAGAGCTGTGCAGACGAGGAAGGAATGTCAAGGCATATTGTCTTGCTGCTTGACAAGCCATTGAAGCTGCTCAGAACTGTTTTCTCACCTGCCTGTGTCACAGGGTTTTGGGAAGATTGTATGTAAAATTGTTCTGAAGCAAATGTGAGGACTTGCTATTATTTGTTGATTTATAATAAATACATGGATGAACACACTGAAAACTGCTCTGCCAATGACATGCTAAGAAGTTTAGGTTGTATTCTCTAGGTAATGGAGGGGATGGGTGAGAGTTCCACAGATTCTAAGTAAAAGACTGATGTGACTAGATCTGGTGTAAGAAGATAACTGGGAGCAGAGAATAGTAATAGGGATTCCAGTTCAGAGACCATTGTAAATTCTGCCGGGTTTCCAATCCTGGCTTCATTGCTTGTGAATACTGTAAGCTTGAGCAAGTTGCTCTAATGCTCGATTTCCTGCTTTCTGTAAAGAGGGTGATAGTACCTACCTTTAGAATTGTGGTGAGGCATAAGAAAGATAATTAGAGAATTAAACACTCTACCTCACATGTGGCAAACACTCTGTAAATAGTTATTTTGTTACAAATTGTTTAAAAGGGATATGGTTAAAGGTCAGCGATAATAAATCTGTTCCAAAATAAGCAGAGATAAGGTGGAGAGGAAGAAATGGATTTCTCTTTTATCATAAGAGTAACACATACTAATGGAAAAATTTCAAACCCTAGAGAACAGTGTAAAGGAAAAAGTAACTTCCATCCCCATTCAAAGAACCTATTCCCATTGCAGGTATAAACAAAGCTAAACCTTTTTTGGGTACCAAACCAGAAAATCAGTTATTCATCTTTCTCGTTCTCCATTTCAGCTGGGATACATTAAATGGTTTTTAAAAAGTTAAAAAGAAAAGGAAAACAAGTTAGTGTGAACTGAATCTTTCTAGGCAAAGGCCCATGGCATTTCCTCCCTGTAAATATCTTTTGCTTATTTCCTTTTTCTATACCTTTTGATCACTTCTAACAACAAGAAGAGGAACTTCAGTTGTCTGTCTTCCACAGCTTCCGTGGAAGACTTTCTT